GAGTCCTGGGTTTCCTTTTCCGTCTCGGGATTCGCCTCGGCGGACATGCTAAAGTCCGGGTCACGGATCAGGCGGAGTACGGTGCGCTGAAGGCGGCGGATTACAAGGCGGGTGGCCTCCCGACTGAGTTCTATGTGCGTGGGGCTGATGTAGTCGTAGCCGTAGTTGTGACACTGGCGGCGCAGCAGAAGCGTTGTGGCGGTGGGCAGCTCTAAAATCTTGAAACTTCGCTCGGCTATTGTGAAAATCATAAAGAGCATGCGCATGGTTGCCACCTTGTTTCAAAATAACACATTACTCGGGGAACGTTTTGTTTTGCTGTTAGTTTTTCAGTTGCAGTTGGCGATAATTGAATTGGAAAATTTATGTATTGGGGGAGTGGCCACGAACTGGGCCAGGACCAAAATCAAAGTTTTCAAATTAAAACGGCCTGGCCAGCAGTCAGTAACCGATTCAAGCTCTTTGCAGTGCAGGATCTGGCAGCCCACTCCCAGTCGCTGTTATCGATAACAGACTATTGCAAGTTGCGCGCGCAACCATCACAATTCAAATAAGCAAAGCATTAAGCAAATAACTAGAAATTCAAGACTATCAGAAACAACTTACATGGGTAATGGATGGAAGCTGGCGGTTTGGAGTGCTGCAGCCCCAGATTAATTTTGCGCCTTGAAACTGTGTAAAATAGAATAACACATATGCTATTGGCAATATTTATTGATTTTTCTAATCCAAATTTTTAACGTACACAATACAATTTTTTTGAAGACTTTTCCGTAAACTTCTACATTTACAGGTTTGATATCTGATCTGTGACATATTTCGCAAAAGCTCGGTGTGATCTAAAGGCACATTGTCGGTTGGTTATTGTGTATTAATACAGTAAATTCACTTAGTAACAACTACTACGTCTGGCACGTGAGTAAGACAAGTTAACAACTGGCCGCCGGGTTTGGTTTTGGGTTTGGGTTAGCTCTTCTCTGCCCCGCTCCGGACCAACTGGGTCCGGGCAGTTGGCAGTGGTTAGACGTACGACACAAATATGTTTATAAATATATATAAAATCATTCATTGGGCTGACTGCAAACGGTGCAGCAGGTTCGAGTGTGCTCTTAGGATATTTTTCATTAACTGCTGCAGCGTTTACAATCATGCCTAAGAACGCACATAAATTAAGCGTGTAAACATTACAAAAAACGTTAATATAAAATGTAAAATTGGCGCCGGTTGCTGCTCCTCTGGCTTTTTTGCGGCTTGCTTCATTTGGCTGCCACTCAGGCATAGTCCCTGAACTTGGTGAACAGGCTGTAGAGGACGCGCAGGGTGGACTTCAAGTCCATGTTGACAATGTCCTCGGGCCGCGCCTTTGGCTTGGGCAGGCCCACGTCCTGCATCAGGTCGAAGGCAAATGCCACATTGCTGACCATCTGATCGACGTCCTGCGGCGTCAAATGGAACTCATGCAGCGGAACGAAGAAGCCGCCGAGCAGGCCCATTAGAAGACACAGATAGACGCCGTCGCGGAAGTCCGTATTAAGATCGCTGATCTCGAAGTTCAGCTTGGCCAGGTGCTTGTTCACGAACGTAATGAGGGACTTCTTCACCACGACCAACTTGTCCGGCGCACAGTCGATCAGCGTATCGAAGGCGTCCTTCTCGCAGCGCATGCCCAGGTCGTCGTACTCGGAAGTAATCTGCTCCTGGAACTTTTGCGCATTCAGCACTCCCGCATTCTTTTCCGCAATCACAACGGTCACGAACACGTTCTCCGGCAGGCGAACGGGCGCCCGGAAGTGACGCACCAGAGCCACCAGCAGATGCAGAATGGCCACGATGTTCTTGGAGTGCACGCTGGCCACCGACCATTTGGGGATCTTCTGGTGAAAGCCGAGTGTCTGTGGGGAAAAGAAAAAGTTTAGTTAAATACTGTTAAGCCGATTGCAAAATCATCATATAAACAAAATTATTTTTAAAAGCATCCAATATGTAAAGTGATATGAAATAAATGAGTAATAATGATTAATAGTAAGAAACAGAAAAAAAAAGAATTAATCACATTTGTGACATCTTAACGCTTTGCGTTGTTCTTAATACTATTATTTTTCCGATATTTTATTTATTTTTATTTTTTATAATAATCATATCGTTTCGTCTTGTAATCTTTTTCTGTTAAATGTTTCAAGGATACTCACGTGGTTAACGGCCTTCAGGACGATGTTGAGCTTCTCGTGCTGCCCCTGCTCCGACTGGGTGACCTCCGGCACGTCCAGCTTCTTGCCGGTGAGCTTTTCCCATAGCTTGTGCAGGACCTGGCCGTCGTACATGTCCTCGTCCAGCTGCTGGACGATGATCCGCTGCTCGGCCAGCTCGTCGTTGATCCAGTCGACGAGGATGCGCTGTAGCTTGATCACCTCGGGTTCATTGATGGACTGTGGATCGATGACGGCGCGCTGTTCGTGCTCGCCTGCGGGGATCAGATGAGATCGTTAGAAAAGGAATTATGATGAAAATAATCACACTTACGCAGGGCGTAATCCTCGGGCGGGATGTCATACTGGCTGGGTGAGCCCGGTGAGTCGATGGCGTACTTGCCCTCCTCCTGGACCTTCTTCACTGCAAATGGAGCAAGCAGAGGGGGCGTATTTAAAGATACCATCCAAAATAAGGTAAACAAAAACGATGACGACACAAGGCCATCACACACACACGAACACTTGTGGGCCCCGTTTGTTTGTGTGCGTCATCAGTGACGCAATGTTCTGGCTATTCAGCGAATCCGCATCCGCACATCTGTTCCCAGAAGAGCTTCCTGGGAGGAAGGGGAGCAGTTTCCGGCCAATTTTTGGTGGCCAATCCAGGGTTTGGAGTTCCAAGAACACAATTCCTCAATCCAGATCCAAATATAGGCGTCTATTGAGCTCCAAGTGATCCACCTACCTTCGCGAGTGCCGCGTTTGCGACCCAAAGTGCTGAACTTGTCCCAGAAACTGTCCTCCTTCTCGCCCTTTTTGATGGCGGTGGGCGTGTGCGGGGACTTGGGGCGGTTCAAGGTGGACATGGCGCTATTGGTGCGACTGGATTTACTGGATTCCGCGAACTCCGGATTGGCTCAACAGTTTCTGTTATTGTTTCTTTTCGGGCGTTTTCGGAGCTGAGCAATCGGTTTCCCTTGGGGCTGCCACCTGATCGCGTTGCTGGCGTTGCCCAACACTGGAATTCGGAAACAGTTCGGAAGAATAATATTTAAGAAATTCCAGATTTTTAGTTTTAAAACAATCTACAAATTAAACTGTATTTAGCCCTAGGCTATTTCCATACTTTTAATTTATTACGAACCTTTTTTATATATTTAAAAAAAGGTTTTTTTTAGAATAATCCGCTTAATTAGAATATATACTGGTATCAAAGGGTAGAGTTCAACTACCACAACACCCCTATGATTTTTTTGCCACCTTAATTGTTTTAATATCAAATATTTCAAATGATCATCAATTTCAAGTTTAAATACTGATCCAAAGTTAGTAATAAGGATACCCCCTAGGATCAGATAAACTATTAAAAAAAAAACACCCAATTTTTAAAAGCCATCAACTTCCTTTTAAGATCAGAAATAATATATGTATCGTATCATACTAGAGCTATGTATATATAATAGTTCTACAGTTCAGATGGAGTTGGGCAACTGGCAGGCTCGCACCGCCACGAGCTGCAACAGGACGAAGATCGGGGAGAAGACCTCCGAGTACTCGAGGCCCGTCTTGCTGGAGAGCTTCAGGCAGAGCAGGTACTTGAAGATGGCTATCAGCACCAGGAAGTAGGTGCTCCACATGAAGCGGTGCAGGGCCTTTCGCTTGTTGTTGGAGTCCAGGTACATGCGGATGCCCACAATGACGCAGAAGTACGCGTTGCAGATGTCGATGAAGAACAGCGGGCTGAAGACGGTGAACCAGTCGCCCATGGGCTCTGGCAGCATGCCGCCGGGTCCGGCCCTGGCCTGCAGGTGCAGCTTGACGGCCAACGTGATGGTGAAGACCAGCAGGCCGCACAGGTTGACCAGGATCTCGAACTCCGTGAGCCCCAGCCACCGCACCAGCTCCGAGAGCTTAAACATCGTACTATCCTACTGCCTACTGGACTTCGGCTTGCCCCGGAATTGACCCAAGGATTGGGCTTGCGTTTGGGACTGCGAGGGCTGCGGCACAACGATGTCGAAGAGGCTGCGATTGAAGATCTTGATGTGCAGGGCCGAATTGTTGCGCTGGCGGAAGGTTATGTCCTCGGCATCGCACAGCGGATGCAGTTCGTCCACCAGCTGGATGGTGGACGTGTTGATGGCGTAGCTGAGGGCGCCCTCCGAGTTGTGGACGAGGCGCAGGGCAAGATTGAGGCCTCGGGTGACCGAGAAGCCCATGCAATGTAGAAATATCTCGCGGGCGCCGGAGTTGAGCAGCTCCTCGCAGCGGCGCTGCTGGGCCTGTCCAGGTGGAAGGGGTACAGTATAAGATTAGAGGATATGTGGGCCCACAAGAGAACTATCCACCTACCTTGAAGTCGGTCTTGCTCGTGATGTAGATGTTGTGGCGGTCGCTGACAGCGGGACGCGGCGGCTGCTTGCGCACCACTCGGTGGTTCTGTTGTCTGTGGTTTCGGGTGGATCTCGGCTTGGTCCCGTGCTCGGGAGGATTGCTGCCCATCATCAACGGCGGCGGCGGCGGAGAAGGCGACCTCTGTTTTCCATCTGCGCGTGTCACAATTTCGGACTCGACAATGCACTCCGAAACGGACGCTGCCCAACACTGGCCGGGCTCAACGATCTGGCAACCCGGCCCTAGCTGTCACACTGACAGCTCTCGATAGCTCTACGCTCGGCCATCGCTATTCCTATCGCCAGGGGCTCGTGAGAATTCTCGGCAGTTGAAAATTTTTCGTCGTACTCTCGGAACAACAAAGGTATGTTTTAAGGCACTGCTATCGCACCTTATCAAGTACACCAGACCGTAAGCCAAGGCATCGATCCGATCGATGCCCAGCCAAAGAATTAAGAACTTTTTGGCCCAAGAAGAGGCCGTTTGTAACTTCGCAACTCGTAACACACGCTCACACACATAGACACAAGAGCACTAAACACACATACACTCTCACATACACACACACACTTCCGCTGGCGAATTCCTCGGGCAGCAGGAAAAAAAGAGATGAAAAAAGTACAAGTTACATAACTCGCTGGTAGTAATTGTTGGTGGGCCATGAGGGGCTGGGAGGAGGGGTCTCCGTCGCCTGCATCTTCATCCGTAAGTTGTCCCGATCTGGATCTGGATAACCCCCTCACAACCCTCCCTCCTAGGGTTACATAAGTCACCGCTCGCAAAAGGGGGTGGTCGAAAGAAAAACAGTCCCTATAAGTTTATCTATCCACTATTGTAGCCAGAAAGACAATTCAAATCAAATCCCCCTGCACCGCGCGTTTCCTGGTTCGAGTAACGTTTTGTATTCATGCGTTCAAGTCATTTTTCCATGCAGGCGAATCCGAAAATCCGATACGTTTCAGAGTCGCAAATCGCAGTCAAGAGTTAAGCACTAAACGCAAGAAAAACACAAGCATACGCAGAATCCCACTGATTCTCGAACTAAGCCAAAAACCGGAAGGACCCCTACTCATCCACAACAACAACAAAAGGAGCAGGAGCAACCACAACAACAGCAACATCATCGGATGATAACGTAACATTGGAGCCACACCATATCCAGTTCAGCGGACATCGCAAACAAGTAAATTACCATTTCTCTCATTTTATCAGAACAGAAATCTGCAAGCCAAGTACTACTACTACTACTACTTCTACTACCAATCAAAGCAATCCAATCCAATCCAATCTAATCAAATCAAAGTCTAAGTATCCAAAATTGCATAAGAGTCGCAGTCGCTGTCGCGCGTATGCGCCCGTAAAACAGAGCCTGTTCCGCTAGCATTTTTTTGTCGCCCATCCACTTGGTTGGAGCTCCGGCTCCCAAAATCCGATTGGTCTGGTCTGTGGGTCAAGAAGCCAGCGCCAGCCAAGTCAAGTCAGCGCAAGAAATTTCGCTAGATTCTCGATTATCGATTCTCGTTTCTTGTTTCTGACAAGCGCCAAACCGAACAGAACAGAACCGAACCGAACCGAACAGCAGATCCGAAAAGAACCAAAAAAAAAAGTATAAAGAAAAAGTTAACTGAATACAGAAAGCATACTCTGATATTGTGTATACATAGGTATTTCGTAAAAAACGCGCCTCTGCCAACTGCTCGATTTAACGCGGCACAGTTTCGAATTGCAGATCATCACTACATCCCCATCCGACATGTCGGCGGCCCGCCTGCCCTACTATCAACAGGATCAGGAGGACAACCACGATAATGGCAATCACCACCATCAGCTGCAGCGGCGCGCCGGGCGAGGCCATCAGCGCGGCTACCATGAGAGGGGCTCCGGCGGATCCTCCAGGTGGGAGCGCAATCGCTACAGTCGCAGCCGTTCGCGTTCTCGCAGTCGCAGTCGTAGCCGCTCTGCGGAACGCTCTGGACAGCGCCGCCGCCGCCAGGAACAGCAGCGTCAGGCGTCCCGTCACCACAGGGATCGCGACTCCAGAGATCGCTCAAGAGACCGTTCCAGGGATCGCTCAAGGGACCGTTCCAGGGATCGCTCAAGGGACCGCTCCAGGGATCGTGACCGGGAGTACTCTAGGCGCTCCAGCCACTACCGCCGTTCGGAATCCCCGTCCTCTGGCCCTAGCCATATATCCGGATCCAGCAGCAACCACAATAGCCAGCGTAGGGGCCACCTGCCATCGTCCTCCGGCAGACCAGAGCTGAGTGCCGTACAGAAGGCAGCCGCTGCAGCTGCCGCCGCCGCAGATCAAGTGCAATTGGCCGGAAAGAGCATGACAGCCGCTGCTGCCGCCTCCGCAGTGGGTGCCTACTATAACCTGGACACCGACGAGCCCTTTGACAAGGAGCGCATCCACCGCGAGATGGAGCAGAAGCTGCGCGAAGCACTGGCCAGAGAGGGTAAAGTGTATCCACCGCCCAAGCCGGAGCCACCTTCGCATCCCGTGTTCGCCAACGATGGCTCATTTATGGAGCTGTTTAAGAAGATGCAAGAGGACCAGAAGCAGCAGGTTGGCAGCCAACCAATGCAACAGCCAGCTGCAATGGAGGAGCTCCTCCAGCAGCAGCAATTGGTCTCGCCGGAGGTCTCCTCAGTGCCCGCGCTGCCGGCCATTGCTGTAGGGGCTGCCAGCAGTGCTGCCGCTCCATACATAGCCGCAGCGGCGGCCGGCAAGTCTGCGCCACCCCCTCCGCTTGTGGGACGGCGTCGCGGCGGAAAGGTCCTGAAGACCGGCGTTGTGGCCAAGCTGAAGACGCCCAATGAGAGCGACGTGGACCCGAAGGACTTCTGGTCGTTGTATCTGGCCGAGGTCAATAAATACAAGAGCAACGCCTGCGATACGGACAACGGCAAGCGACCGCTGGTCAAATAGTCGCAGCAACAGTGGCCACACCTCATAGAAACATGTACTTGAACGCAGGCAGACCAACAAACGTGAACTCCACAGCTCCAAATTCGATTCTGATTCGACCAAATACCATCCATTCTTCCGTAAACTCGAGATACACACACACGCTCTGAGATAACCCAAACCCAATCCCCATTGAAGATTTTGTACACAAGAAAATGCGAGCACAGATCCGTAGCTTATAGATATATAGATATTGGAGGGCTTTTGAGCTGCAAGCGCGAGCAGTGTAATTTGTATTTTTTTCACACGGGTCGATACGGACTACTAGACGCTGCCCCGATCGATATACACTTAATAAAATAATCATAGTCTTAGGTAATAAGCCATAATTTTAGAAGATCCATACGAGATGTATCTCTCTATACAATATGATATATACCGCTCATTAAGCAACCACAAACATGATGAACTAACCTTTGTGATTTATATGTCTATCTCTTCCTACCCGTTTTTGCACTGAAATTGTATTTAACTTATCGTTTCCATTCTCATTTCGTTATGTACATCGCCCCCGCCCCCATGTGAACCTATAACATCCATCTCTTTCTTTTTCATTACGACTTTGGTTGCGTTTCGATCGATGATTTTTGCCCTCCCTTTGGTTTCGTTTCCTTTTTATTTTCCTTTTCCCAACTAAAGTCTATATGCAATTTTTCATGTCCAAAAACAAAAGCAGCGACAAATCGTCAGACAGCAGCAACATGTCCGCCTACAAGCTGGAGACCGCCCCCTTCGATCCACGGTTCCCTAACCAGAACGTGACCCGCTACTGCTACCAGTCGTACATCGACTTCCACCGCTGCCAGAAGAAGCGCGGCGAGGACTTTGCGCCCTGCAACTACTTCCAGAAGGTCTACAAGTCGATGTGTCCCAACGCCTGGGTGGAGAAGTGGGACGATCAGCGCGAGAGCGGCACATTCCCGGGCCGCATCTAAGTTCGGCACTAACCGCATCCCCAATCCCAAAAACACACAAGAGCAGGATACGATCGATGGATGGATGGATGGGCGGACGTAGAGCAGCGTCGTAACCAGAATCCGGCAATTGCAACAGAGACTAGTTCGTGTTTGTGATGTTTGTGCTTTCCCGAGCGATGAATGCAGACCATCGTCGACAAATACTTAAATACACAAATGTTCAATTATCTGAATTCTGAATCGATCGTTTGTTTCTTCTTCTATAACTTGTTGCTGGCCGAAAAATAATTCGAAACAGATCCACGCCACTGTATTCCGATGTGTTATTAATTAATAAACTATTAGACACGAAGAGGCCAGCGTTTCGTCATTTGGCTTGGAGGCACCGATATACTGTATAGAATTCATTCTAAAGATTTATCTGAAACTGACATACCAGTACTTGTACTGCGATTTCCAGAAAAACACATGTGTGGCCTGCATCGTTTATTTAATATGTTTACTCTTTGGTTATTACAAGATGTTTTTTTATTAGCAGTCTATTCCAACATTTCCACCAAAGCTAGAATTGCACTGACAATCGTATTTGGCCTTTTTAATATTAATTTTTATTTTTTATTTGAATTTTATTAGTGTATACATAGGTGCAACTCTTTTATGATTTTCACTACTTTAGTTTGCAGTTATTATCCGTTTTCATTATATTGGATTAAGTGTGTCAAACACTTGTCTTACAAAAAATTCTATTATTCGCCAAACTTAAATGTAAAACATACCAATGGCATTATCCTCCGATTAGACATTGCTGTTGAACATTAAAACAACGAGAGGAACAGAATTAACAACATATAGGGAGAGATACAGAATCTAAGCGCAAAAAACCTGTCAAAAATATTTGAAAAACTTTTCAAAACGGAAAATTTTTTTCATTTATCCATAAAAGATATTTGACATTTGTTTGATAAATGTCAAACTGAAATATCTTTTGAAATATCGAAATTATTTTCCAGTTTCAAAAAATTACCAACAATTTTCGACGTTTCTGTCGCTTTTACAGTTTTTTTTGGATAGCTTAAAATCAACAATTGCGGACGGCAGCAATTCCTAAAAACTAAGCGTTAATCAACATAACAGGAAACTTGAGTTGAGTTACATATTTGTGATTTGGAAACAAACCGATTCGATATGGAAGTTTCTGCCTGGCAATGTCCAATCCTTGAAGGTTCTGAGAACACTTTGGGTTCTTTATTTTTTTTAAAACTATTTTATTTATTTATTTTTATATTCTTTGTTGTAATTGTCTAGTTAATGAGCCCAACCTGTTTTGCAACTACGGAATTATGGTGTACAAAAGTTTTGGAAAAATCCTACTAGTTAAACTTCTATATGATTAGATAATTGGCAGTTAAACTATTCAATTCTTTGAAAGGAGAAAATGTGGAAGACCGCTTAGACCTATTAGAAGGTGACTTCTTAAAGACGAGCATATCTACTTTTCGCTTAGGCCCTTTAACTAGACAGTTAAAAATGCATATCACTTACTTTGGTATGTCTCGGCTAGCTTTTATCGCGTGAATTCTTTTTTTTTTAGTTTGTACCGCTGTTTGCATGGATCTAATGTCTTATAATAGGTATATAATATATATATATATATGTGTGTTTCGAACGTTAATCTTAAGGATAATGCTAAGACGGCTGATCGAGCGGATCGTTAAGGGGGTTCAATGCTGAATTTTGACTTGGTCGGACCTTAAGTTCCCCTCCTTTGCAGCGATTGTGAGTTACCATATATCGACAATGAAATGGCTTAGCTTTGGCTTATCGACATGCTAACGCTAGGTCTATCTCTAAATGGCTATGGCTCCAACTGTACAGGTTTATAATTCGAATGCATCTGCCCGGACTGGACAGTCGTACTAAAATGAGTATAGGTCATACATATTTCCCAACCATCCCTTTTTTATTGTACTTAATAGGTATTGTATTGTGTTTTTCGACTTTCTTTTAGGGGGGTTCGGGAAATTGCAATGTATGCTCGAGTGTATAGAGTTTACAACGTAATTCTTAGGCGTATTTACTTGATAGTTGTAATGGAACGAAATGTCAACGCTCTATTCGTGAGCCACTTGTATCTCGAATCTGGTTTCCCCTCAAATCGTAATCGTATAATTATAACACAGATATGAACTGATTAGTAATTGCGGTTGCCTGGCTATATTCGAAGTGGGAGAAGCGTTACTAGTACTTGGTTAGGTTTAGTTTTAGTTGCAGGAATACGCAGTACCCATGATCCACAGTAAATCATTCATCACTCGCAGATGTCAACTTATGAGTTATCCGTTCTTCATATCTTCATACATAGTAAGTATTTCTATCGTTAGTAACATTCGAATAAGTGAAGAGAACAAAAGCTTCCTGCCATCGAATATCTTACATTCTAGCTGTGCACGATGCAATTAATCTTAATCTATTACTTCTTGTCCCGCTGATCTCTTGAAAGTGCTCCAATGCGCGAGAAACCAGCTCCAGATCCGTATATCCTCAGATATTTAAAGCTTCCAATGATCCACTCCACTCTGTCCAACTGTTTCTGTTTCCGTTTCCGGTGTGTGTCTGGCACTTTGTGCCTCATCTACAAAGTCTACATGCAACCGTACTTGTGTGAGTCATCCACTTCCTCGACCTTCTCAACTTTCCTAACCCCTGGATCATCCAGGCTAATCCCCCGACCCGTGTCCCATCCATGCCCAAGTACCGCAGCCCGTAGCCCCCTTACGGGTATAGTTACATGTAGCTATTGCTTGTTTGTTATCCAATGTCACGGACGATCTCGATCTTGTCGCACAGTTCCGAGTCCGGGTCGTGGATGGTGGTGAAGTGCGTGCGGTCGCTTCGGAATGTGTTCCGCTCGTTGGAGCTGCTCTTGATCGACCGCTCAGAAGGGGTCTCCGTACCGCTCAGCTGGATGCGCTTCTGCAGGGCCGAAACGAAATTCTGCAACGAGATTTGTCCATCAGAAATCTTATATATTTGATATCTAGATCCTGAGATTATAATTAAAAAAGTTAGATTTCCCTTTGATAAATCTAATTGTCGATAGATCGTATGCTTGCCTTATTCACAAGGACTTGAATGATCAAAACGCGAATTCTTTAGTATTATTTTTTAATTTTAACCAGCTGAAGTAGAATGATTTTTCACTACCAAATACAGCTCTTCCTTTGTTAAATATATTGATGACTATGAAGACTTCGCAACGCGAATTCTTTAGAACATTTATTAAATTTTACAAAAAAAGGTCCAATAACAGGTCACAAACATCTCTAGTGACTAGTTTAGAAGTCCGGAAGTTATTCACGATCATGGGTGACATCTTTAACTATAGTTCTCCTGGAAACCAACCTGATCGGAATAAATCTCCCGACCCCTTGATCCCACTTAACCCCACTGATTTCTCCACTCACCTGCGATATGATGTCGCCGCGGGCCGTGCGCACCTGGTAAAGGTAGCGGAACTTGCGCTGCCTGGCCTCCTCGCGCGTCTCGCGGGTGCGCGACTGGGATCGCCGGACGGGGGCGAGGGCGTGGCCCGGTCCCGCCTGCTGCTGGCTGTGCGGCAGGTGGGCGCCGTGGGCGTGGCCGGGGTGGTTGTGGTGCCTCATGTAGACCCGCTTGCGATGGTCCACGCGCCAGGCGGTGATGAAGCACTGCACCATGATGCTGAGGACGATGGTGACCGGCCAGGCGGCGATCAGGAGGCCCCCATAGCAGGGTGGCGGCAAGGGATGCGGTCGCATGCCGATTATCTGTGGAGAGAGTTAAGATTGTTAAAAAGGACCAGCAATTTGCATACTTATGATTCTAGAAAAGGAAGGAATATGGCAAAGGACCACTTAAAAGGAAAATGGTATTTCACTGGTGTTAAAAATCTCATAATTCTAGACTATTAGTTTTAAAAGTATCTGAAATGGTTTTATTAGTATTCTTTCTGTGGAAAGTAGAAAATTAGAAAACGCTAACAACTATATACTATCTTTTACCTAAATGTTCCATTGTAATTATGTCCATCATAAAGAAATAAATATTTCTGATCCTTTAACCCAAAGACAAGTATGTCTAATTAATCTATACTATTTTAAGAAACCAATAAACTCAATTATTATTTTGTTGTACTCACCCAATTGATGGTCTCCAGGCCGTGCATGAAAAAGTCGATGGCGCTGAGGATCATGGCCGTGCCCACAATGCTGGAGGTGAGGATGGTCACGTACTTGACGCAGCACAGGGTCAGCACGGAGCAGATGACGGCGCCGCCCACCACGGCCACATAGATCTCGCGATACTGCGGATAATAAGGAGGAGGATAGGGATATAGATATAATAAATATGGAATTCCATTTAGAACTTACCCCGAACTCGTTGTCCGGAAAGGTGGCCACACATACGGCCATTGCGGCCCCGGAGAGCAGGGCTCCAGCGAAGGCGCTGATAAGTACAGAGGCCACTGGATATGTGGAACCCAGGACGGCACCCAGCAGTCCGGCCACAATGGCCAGCGCCGAGTCCGCCGGCTTGCCCAGAAAGGTGATCTGGAAGTCCTGCAGAATGAAGATGCCATTGGCGCCCACCATCAGTCCGCTGAGGAAGCCCACGGCGCGGAGGCATCGATAGCCAAGCAGAGCGTAGACAATTCCGAAGACGGCGAAGATGGCCCACAGGATGGCGGCCAGTGGTTCCGGCGCACTGGGCGTGCATGTCTGTCCCTCCAGGATGCCCTGCGGGAGGAGAAGGAGGAGGAGGAGGTCAGCGCAGGTTGGCAAAGTGTGTCACGCGGGGCGAGCCTGGCTTGGGTCAATCTAATGCGACCAAGGACACGACACACTTATCAAGGGGCCGCGACGATGACGATGGCGCCACTTGCCTTCGCCACTTCACATCATGTGGATTTCATTATTAACCACTTTTTCTAGCCACTCAAAAAACATATAATATCATGTTTAGAAAAAAAAACAAGGAAGAACGCTATAGTCGAGTACCTCGACTATCAGATACCCGTTACTCAGCTAAATAGGGATATGCAAGTAGCAAAGCGAGATTAAAATGCGCCACCTACCGGCGGTATACAGATTTAAGCGTTATGGGCGTTAGAGTGGGCGTGGCAAATTTTTTTTTGGACCAATCGATAGGTATTGACAAGACCAATACATTTCAGTTAAATTTGTTTATCTAGCATGAAAATTGTGGGCGTCACAGGTTTTCGCGGTTTGTGGGCGGTAAAGTGGGCCTGGAAAACTTTTTTTTGGACCAATCGATAGGTATTGATGAGAACAATACATTTCAGTTAAAATTTTTTATCTAGCATGAAAATTGTGGGCGACACAGGTTTTCGCGGTTTGTGGGCGTTAAAGTGGGCGTGGCAAACTTTTTTTTGGGTCAATCGATAGGTATTGATGAGAACAATACATTTCAGTTAAAATTTTCTATCTAGCATCAAAACTGTATGAGCCACAGTTTTGGGCGGTTTGTGGGCGTTAGAGTGGGCGTGGCACTCTACTGAAACAAACTTGCGCTGCGCAGGAATCTCAGGAATCTGCGTGCCTAATCCCAGTATTGTAACTCTCATAGTTTCCGAGATCTCAGCGTTCATACGGACAGACGGACAGACGGACAGACGGACAGACGGACAGACGGACAGACGGACAGACGGACAGACGGACAGACGGACATGGCTAGATCGACTCGGCTAGTGATCCTGATCAAGAATATATATACTTTATGGGGTCGGAAACGCTTCCTTCTGCCTGTTACATACTTTCCGACGAATCTAGTATACCCTTTTACTCTACGAGTAACGGGTATAATGATTTAGGATCATAATTGGTTTAAGGGATCCCCAAAAACATATAAAATTTTGAGCTTTGAAGTTTGTTTAGTAAATACACTGGATATAAAAAGAAAACTACTTATTTATAAGTACAACATTTTTATAATGGAATAGATTTTAAAGAGATGAGACTGGTCTATAAAGAATATCATATCATATCTTCTAAATTTCTAAAGTAAACATTTGAGAAACCCTAAAAACATCTAAGAGAAAGTGGATTACATTAAAAATAATAATAATAAACATTATTATTCGAAATATATGTACATATTTTAACTGGCTCCTGTTTACATCCGATTATAAGGTGGCGTTAAGCCTTTGCACAGGGGACTTTGAAGGAGCGCAGGTTCAGCTTCATTTTCGTCCTCGTAGTGACAAAGCTATTGACACACAAACCCCCACTTATACACATTATACTCGACACTTTGCATATTGTCTCGACTTAACCTAAAAAGCGTGCAAATATGTCGAGTGTGTGGGAAAGGGGCGAAGGGGTATGGAGATGGGTATGTGGATGGGGGCTACGAACCTTGATGAGAAAGGGCCAGTCCAGGTGGGTGGTGCCCATTGACTCCTCGCTGCCATAGTCGAACACCATGTCCGCCGCCACCCTCATTCCGGCGGACTAATTTTTGGCGGACCCTGGGCTACGAAACTGGGATCTATGTTGTTGTTCTTCCAACAGGAACGTAATATATACCGATTGTCTCGTTGATTCGGTTAATTGAAGGGCTTCTTCACTGGCACAAAACGAGTCCACCACATTCCTGCACTGATTCGGGCATGGTTGTTATACCTCCTCCTTTCTCCTCCAAAAAAACACCTCGAAATAGGGCGGAGCACCTGAAAGTCCAGAGTCCAAAGTGCAAAGTCCTTATGAACCGAATAAAACCGATCCTGCGGCCAATTGAACTATTGCAGATATATTGCAGTATAGGTTTTGGTACACATTTTTGCACTGCGACGTGGGAAATGGTTCTGGGTTTGCTACAATCGGGGCCAAGCCAGAATAGCTTGTGGTACAACAGGAAAACAGTGAGTCGGTCCTGCGGCCAAGACAGGGATGGCTACAGCTGCACAGCCTTGTGGGCTAGAAAGGAACCAAAACAACCCCCGAAAGGCTCGGCCGAAAGCTCTGAAAGCTCAGGAGCCCAACCTTCGCAACCCTGACCAGGTATACCACACCATTTCGGTCCAGTTACTATCCACTTTACTTCATTAACTTAAAACACCATTACCATCCTATGAATTAACATTATATGTACATCAGAGTCCTTACTTAAAAAGAAGTTATCCCTTAAAATAAACAACAACGGTTTTATCGCTTATTTTCCAGTTCTGTTGCGGCTTTTAATAAAATATTAAGAGTTCGAACATCAAGATAAAATTAAAAACGTGGTTTGTTTCTTTGGTAATCAAAATAGCTTTTGGTATTTACATAGGAACCTAAAAAGCAAGGGATTTCCATTAAGGTTAATAATCTCTATTTGCGATATGTGGCTGCTACAAAAATACCACAATTTACGGTGTCAAAAATGGGCGTGGCTCGAGATTGATACAAAGTTGAACTGCAAAAAATCTTCTCTTTTTTTTCCTTTACCATTCTTTTAAAGCTTTTATACCAAGATTGCAACGTACGACATTTCTCATTTAGACCTTTATTTCTTCCATAGCAGCCAAAAAACGGATTATTTTAGAGCGAAACAAACCGGATTAAGATTTTGTCAAAAATACGATATTTAGATTTTAGTCAAAACTGCGATTTTTCATTCCAGTTTTTCAATCGTAGTTCAGCCAAATCAAGGCGTACAGCGAAAAAACCGACTGTTTTGAACAGCTTGCTTAATATGCTAACGATTCCAATCACTTTAAGGAAAACTTATTTTTTGACCAGTTTTCGCATTTTTTGTAAGGGGGTGCATCGTCTATTTTTGCGAAAAATGTCAAAAATAAAAAATTCCCAGGTTTGGATGCCAATGGATTGGAAATTAAGCAACGAGCTCAACGAGGTATGACATTCCTCGATCTGACGCTTATTTTCGTTATAGCAGCCAAAAAACGGATTTTTTAGGCCGAAAAAATGGGATTCAGATTTTGTCAAAAATACGATATTCAGATTTTAGTCAAAATTGCGATTTTTATCTCCAGTTTTTCAATCGTAGTTCAGCCAAATCAAGGCGTACAGCGAAAAAACCGGCTGTTTTGAACAGCTTGCTTAATATGGTAACGATTCCAATCACTTTAAGGAAAATTTATTTTTTGACCAGTTTTCGCATTTTTTGTAAGGGGGTGCATCGTCTATTTTTGCGAAAAATGTCAAAAATAAAAAATTCCCAGGTTTGGATGCCAATGGATTGGAAATTAAGCAACGAGCTCAACGAGGTATGACATTCCTCGATCTGACGCTTATTTTCGTTATAGCAGCCAAAAAACGGATTTTTTAGGCCGAAAAAATGGGATTCAGATTTTGTCAAAAACACGATATTCAGATTTTAGTCAAAATTGCGATTTTTATCTCCAGTTTTTCAATCGTAGTTCAGCCAAATCAAGGCGTACAGCGAAAAAACCGGCTGTTTTGAACAGCTTGCTTAATATGGTAACGATTCCAATCACTTTAAGGAAAATTTATTTTTTGACCAGTTTTCGCATTTTTTGTAAGGGGGTGCATCGTCTATTTTTGCGAAAAATGTCAAAAATAAAAAATTCCCAGGTTTGGATGCCAATGGATTGGAAATTAAGCAACGAGCTCAACGAGGTATGACATTCCTCGATCTGACGCTTATTTTCTTTATAGCAGTCAAAAAACGGATTTTTTAGGGCGAAAAAATGGGATTCAGATTTTGTCAAAAATACGATATTCAGATTTTAGTCAAAATTGCGATTTTTATTTCCAGTTTTTCAATCGTAGTTCAGCCAAATCAAGGCGTACAGCGAAAAAACCGACTGTTTTGAACAGCTTGCTTAATATGGTAACGATTCCAATCACTTTAAGGAAAATTTATTTTTTGACCAGTTTTCGCATTTTTTGTAAGGGGGTGCATCGTCTATTTTTGCGAAAAATGTCAAAAATAAAAAATTCCCAGGTTTGGATGCCAATGGATTGGAAATTAAGCAACGAGCTCAACGAGGTATGACATTCCTCGATCTGACGCTTATTTTCGTTATAGCAGCCAAAAAACGGATTTTTTAGGCCGAAAAAATGGGATTCAGATTTTGTCAAAAATACGATATTCAGATTTTAGTCAAAATTGCGATTTTTATCTCCAGTTTTTCAATCGTAGTTCAGCCAAATCAAGGCGTACAGCGAAAAAACCGGCTGTTTTGAACAGCTTGCTTAATATGGTAACGATTCCAATCACTTTAAGGAAAATTTATTTTTTGACCAGTTTTCGCATTTTTTGTAAGGGGGTGCATCGTCTATTTTTGCGAAAAATGTCAAAAATAAAAAAATTCCCAGGTTTGGATGCCAATGGATTGGAAATTAAGCAACGAGCTCAACGAGGTATGACATTCCTCGATCTGACGCTTATTTTCGTTATAGCAGCCAAAAAACGGATTTTTTAGGCCGAAAAAATGGGATTCAGATTTTGTCAAAAACACGATATTCAGATTTTAGTCAAAATTGCGATTTTTATTTCCAGTTTTTCAATCGTAGTTCAGCCAAATCAAGGCGTACAGCTAAAAAACCGACTGTTTTGAACAGCTTGCTTAATATGGTAACGATTCCAATCACTTTAAGGAAAATTTATTTTTTGACCAGTTTTCGCATTTTTTGTAAGGGGGTGCATCGTCTATTTTTGCGAAAAATGTCAAAAATAAAAAATTCCCAGGTTTGGATGCCAATGGATTGGAAATTAAGCAACGAGCTCAACGAGGTATGACATTCCTCGATCTGACGCTTATTTTCGTTATAGCAGCCAAAAAACGGATTTTTTAGGCCGAAAAAATGGGATTCAGATTTTGTCAAAAATACGATATTCAGATTTTAGTCAAAATTGCGATTTTTATTTCCAGTTTTTCAATCGTAGTTCAGCCAAATCAAGGCGTACAGCGAAAAAACCGACTGTTTTGAACAGCTTGCTTAATATGCTAACGATTCCAATCACTTTAAGGAAAATTTATTTTTTGGCCAGTTTTCGCATTTTTTGTAAGGGGGTGCATCGTCTATTTTTGCGAAAAATGTCAAAAATAAAAAATTCCCAGGTTTGGATGCCAATGGATTGGAAATTAAGCAACGAGCTCAACGAGGTATGACATTCCTCGATCTGACGCTTATTTTCTTTATAGCAGTCAAAAAACGGATTTTTTAGGGCGAAAAAATGAGATTCAGATTTTTTCAAAAATACGATATTCAGATTTTAGTCAAAATTGCAATTTTTATTTCCAGTTTTTCAATCGTAGTTCAGCCAAATCAAGGCGTACAGCTAAAAAACCGACTGTTTTGAACAGCTTGCTTAATATGGTAACGATTCCAATCACTTTAAGGAAAATTTATTTTTTGACCAGTTTTCGCATTTTTTGTAAGGGGGTGCATCGTCTATTTTTGCGAAAAATGTCAAAAATAAAAAATTCCCAGGTTTGGATGCCAATGGATTGGAAATTAAGCAACGAGCTCAACGAGGTATGACATTCCTCGATCTGACGCTTATTTTCGTTATAGCAGCCAAAAAACGGATTTTTTAGGCCGAAAAAATGGGATTCAGATTTTGTCAAAAATACGATATTCAGATTTTAGTCAAAATTGCGATTTTTATTTCCAGTTTTTCAATCGTAGTTCAGCCAAATCAAGGCGTACAGCGAAAAAACCGACTGTTTTGAACAGCTTGCTTAATATGCTAACGATTCCAATCACTTTAAGGAAAATTTATTTTTTGGCCAGTTTTCGCATTTTTTGTAAGGGGGTGCATCGTCTATTTTTGCGAAAAATGTCAAAAATAAAAAATTCCCAGGTTTGGATGCCAATGGATTGGAAATTAAGCAACGAGCTCAACGAGGTATGACATTCCTCGATCTGACGCTTATTTTCTTTATAGCAGTCAAAAAACGGATTTTTTAGGGCGAAAAAATGAGATTCAGATTTTTTCAAAAATACGATATTCAGATTTTAGTCAAAATTGCAATTTTTATTTCCAGTTTTTCAATCGTAGTTCAGCCAAATCAAGGCGTACAGCTAAAAAACCGACTGTTTTGAACAGCTTGCTTAATATGGTAACGATTCCAATCACTTTAAGGAAAATTTATTTTTTGACCAGTTTTCGCATTTTTTGTAAGGGGGTGCATCGTCTATTTTTGCGAAAAATGTCAAAAATAAAAAATTCCCAGGTTTGGATGCCAATGGATTGGAAATTAAGCAACGAGCTCAACGAGGTATGACATTCCTCGATCTGACGCTTATTTTCTTTATAGCAGTCAAAAAACGGATTTTTTAGGGCGAAAAAATGAGATTCAGATTTTTTCAAAAATACGATATTCAGATTTTAGTCAAAATTGCAATTTTTATTTCCAGTTTTTCAATCGTAGTTCAGCCAAATCAAGGCGTACAGCTAAAAAACCGACTGTTTTGAACAGCTTGCTTAATATGCTAACGATTCCAATCACTTTAAGGAAAATTTATTTTTTTGATCAATTTTTGCGAAAAATGGTTAAAATTGAATATTACCATGTTTGAATGCCAATGGATTAAAAATTAATCTACGAGTCCAACAAGGCATTACATTCCTAATTTAAACCTTTGTTTTAAATATGGCATCACAAGCACAGATTTGTAGGGTGGGAAAACAGAATATAGGTTTTGGACAAAAATACTATTTTTCTCGATTCTGATTTTAGTTAAAAGTACTCGAATCTTAAAAGGTTATCTTAAAGGTCAGGAAAAAAGGTCACACCTTGTCATTGTGACTGCAAAAATAATCAACCAGCCTAAACCGAAGTAAGCGAACAGATTCCATTGTCAACTCAACTGACTTAAGTGCTGCTAAAACGCGTAGTTGGGATAGAAAGCAGGAGCGTAGCTCGATAAGGTAAGTGGGCGTCTGGATGGTTCGGTTTCCTCTAGTGGGT